AATAAAGTGTGTTAAACTAGCAAGAAAAATAGCACAGCTGCTCAGCAGTGATCAGAGCAGTTTAAGTCTAGGGTGTGAGGATAGGTGGTTCTTACTAGAAAAAAGAAGGAAAAATGCTGCTTGAGCTACTACTGAGTTGTTTCCGCTCTAGAGCTGTGGAAGGCGGGCAGCACATGGAGGTGCGAGATAATGGCCAATCACAAAATCAAAATGTCAGTCACTGCTGGGAGGATTTTATTTTGTATTTTCTTTAAATTATGTTTATTGCTTTGAGAGAGGAAGGGAGAGGGAATCAAACCTTGATCTCCTGGTTCACAGGTCGATGCTCAACCACTGAGCCATGCCGGCTGAGCAGTGCTGGGGAGAATTTTAAACACATACAGTTCAACTGTTCTTACCTCCCTTGAGGACATAGCTGGGGATACTGGTAAGCATCCTATTCTGCATAGGACAGCCCCGAGAACAATTATCCTCCCCAAAATGTGCATGCACAGGTTGAGAAACCCTGGCCTGGCCCAGGAGGAGCCCAGTGAGTTTGCGTGTGAGTGAATGGGAGCAAGCCATCTAGCTTTTGAGTGTGTTCCTTTTGAATGTTTCTTAAAATGATCTCGAAGATATGCTTTGAGGCTTGAGTATTTGAAAAGGGAAAAGAGCCGGTGGGACTGGAACTGGACGTTTCTGGAATGTAAGTAGTTGTCCTGTATTGGGAAGGACTCCCTGTGGGAGGATTCTGGCATATGCACTGACATGTGAAAGCCAGAAGCCCCTGTGCCAGTTCTCACCACCAACTGTGCCTGTGGGAAAAGTCCAGAGCCCTGGGGAAACAGTGGGCCACCAGGGGGAGGGGTGGGGGAGAGAGAGACTTCCCTTCCATCCCAGCCACACCCAGGCTGCCTCACCACCAAGGGCCCCTCACTTAACAAGACTTGACAGCTATTGTCTCTCTGTTACATTTCAGCCCTTTTAACGTTTAATCTGCCTCCAGCTCAAATCCTTTCTCTGAAAAGTCTTCAAGTCCACCTGTTCTTCCCACACCCTCCATCTTTATCCTCTTCTGGTTACCTCTTCCCTGTGTCCCTGCCAAAGCCTGGCTTCCCAGCCGCCTTGCTTCAGGCCACCCTCTCCTCTTAGCAAAAAGTAGCAGAGAATACATTGACTTGTCAATGTAAGACACGCCCAAACCTGTAGAAAATTTTTATGAATTTATTTGAGCCAAACTGACAGCATATGCTGAGGAGCAAGATCTCAAATGCTCTGAAGAAGGACGGTTTTGCAGCTTCTTTTATGCATTTGAAGTTAAGGGAGGCAATGTAAGGAAGATTCCAGAAAGCAAGGTGGGGATTGGATTACAGAATAGTTAACAAGATTATGTGTTCTCTTGAGGATTAAAACCTCCTTTGAAGGGTATTACTTCTGGTATTTCAAAGGTTTGTTAACCTAGATCCACAAGAACAATGGACAAGGCTGGCTTAAAACCTTTCACTATTTTATTCATTATTTTATTCACTTTACAGTTATTTTTACCAATCTTGGACCCAAGCCAGGATCACACATTGTATTTAGTGACTACCCACCAGGACCTGCCCAGTTAGGAATTTAGGATCAGGTTGCCTGTGAGATTATTTTTCATAGAACCCCCCTTTTTTTTCCATCCACAGAATTATACTCAGTATGATGGCAATAATCGCTTAAAGTGTTTATGTGTCATGCGCTCACTCATTACCTCATTTTGATTCTTTGAGCCCATTTGGCAAATTCAGAGCCAGGTTAAGAAAAGAAGGTTTGAGAAAAGGGATATGTCAAGTGATAAGAATAGGACTTAATTTTTAATCAGAATTTCAGAATTATGATGCTCCCTAGCACATGATGGGGGTGTGGGTGGGTGGATAGAATAAAATGTGAACACATAAATTAAGATATGATTGCTTTTAATCTTACTCACTTTGCAAATGAGAAAACCGAGGCCTAGGGAAGTTAAAATTGCATTGTCTTGGTAACAAAACTAGAATTTGAATTTGGGACTTCTGATTCTTGGCTCAAAGCCTGAAAGTCTAGAACAGGGGTCCTCAAACTTTTTAAACAGGGGGCCAGTTCACTGTCCCTCAGACCGTTGGAGGGCCGGACTATAGTTTTTAAAAAAACTATGAACAAATTCCTATGCACACGGCACATATCTTATTTTGAAGTAAAAAAACAAAACGGGAACAAATACAATATTTGTATTTGTATTTTCATGTGGCCCACGGGCCACAGTTTGAGGACCCCTGGTCTAGAACTTTCCACTTCATACCCAGCTTCTTCCTCTCAACAGGGCTGGGGCATGTAACCTTTTAGGAATAATTTCTATCTAAAATGGAAATTGTTTTAAAGAATTTAAATTTAAAGTTATTTTCATGGATGCAATCTAAGTTTCCATCAGTGAATGAATGAATAAGCAAAATGAGGTATCCTATATAATAAAAGGTTAATATGCAAATAGAGTGAATGGCGGAACAATCAGAACCGAACAACCAGTCGCTATGACGTGCGCTGACCACCAGGGGGTGTGTGCGGAACATGGCAGGCATTGGCCACAGCAGGATGGTGCAGCAGGTGAGCGGGGGCGCCAGACCAAGGCGGGGTGCTGGTCACTGTCATTGGGGCAAGCCTGTGGTGGTTACTGAAAATTCTTTGCTCCCGTGTGCCATGGTCCTGCCCAGCGCTCACACCTGCTGCCGGTGCCAGCCCCGCTTGCACCCACAGCCAGCACCAGAGCTGCCACTTGCGCCTGCTGCTGGTGCCTGGTGAGGGTCCCGATCACTCTGTGCATGCCATCAGCCGGTGCGAGCGGGGCTGGTGCCATCAGTGAGTGGGAGTGGTGGTGGCGGTAGGAGCAGGGCTGTTGGCAGAGGGGGGGCGGGGGGGTGGGTCGTGGTGGGAGGGGCCAGGCGGGTGCACGGAGGATGGGCCGAGACCTGTGCCTGTGCCTACCACAGCCTTTCGGCCCACAGTTTCTTTCAAGGTGAAAATATTTATGAAACAATAAATAATTTATGAATTCGTGCACTGGGCCCCTAGTATACATATAATGGACTATTTATTCAGTCTTAAAGAGGAAGGAAATTCTGACACATCTTCAACTTGAGGACATGCTAAGTGAAATAAGCCAGACACAAAAAGACAAAGACCGGATAATCCCACTTACATGAGGAAGTATTATAGAGTCTGAGAGTAGCAAAGTGGTTGCCAGGAGCTAAGGAGAAGGAGAATGGGATGTAGAGAGTTTTGGTTTTATAAGATGAAAAGACTTATGAAGGGGAGTTAGTGGGGGAAGAGGGGGGACAGAGGGGGCATCTGTAATATTTTCAATAATAAAGATAAATTAAGAATAAAAAACTTATGGAGATGGATGGTGGTGATGGTTGCACAGATGTATTTTAAACCTATATTATGAATGCACACTTAAAAATGCTTATGAGGGTAAATTTTATATTCTGTGTATTTTACCACAATTGGACTTAAAAACAACAACAACACAAACACACACACACACACACACACACACACACACACACACACACACACACATACACAAGAGGCCCTAGCTGGTTTGGCTCAGTGGATAGAGCATTGGCCTATGGACTGAAGGGTTCAGGGTTCCATTCCAGGCAAGGGCACATGCTTGGGTTGCTGCGGGGTTCGATCCCCAGTAGGGGGCATGCAGGAGGCAGCTGATCAATGATTCTCTCTTATCATTGATGTTTCTGTCTCTCCCTCTCCCTTCCTCTCTGAAATCAATAAAAATATATTTTTTAAAAAAAGAGTTATCTAGATAATCTTCTATCTAGGCAAGTCCAAACATGTGGATCAAGGAAGGTATCACCATAACCACTTAACTATACCAAGTACATTGTAGGAATGGAAAGCTTTTCCCTTCTAGGTTTTTTAGCTGGTCTATTAAGTTGATGTAAGACAGTTTAACAGGAGAAAAACAAATTTTATATGTATGGGAGCCCCATAAAAATATGAGACCTGCCCAGCCAGCGTGGCTCAGTGGTGGAGTGTCCTATGAATCAGGAGGTCAGGGTTTGATTCCAGGTCAGGGCACATGCCCGGGGTTGCAGGCTTGATCCCCAGTAGGGGATGTGCAGGAGGCAGCCGATCAATGATGCTCTCTCATTGATGTTTCTATCTCTCTCCCTCTCTGAAATCAATAAAAATATGTTTTAAAAAAGTATATTTGAGCCGAAACCAGTTTGGCTCAGTGGATAGAGCGTTGGCCTGCGGACTGAAAGGTCCCAGGTTCGATTCTGGTCAAGGGCATGTACCTGGGTCGGGCACATCCCCGGTGGGGGATGTGCAGGAGGCGGCTGATCGATGTTTCTCTCTCATCGATGTTTCTGACTCTCTATCTCTCTCCCTTCCTCTCTCTGTAAAAAATCAATAAAATATATTTTTTAAAAAAAGAAAAAGTTTAAAAAAAAAAGTATATTTGAGACCCAAAGAAGTGACCAAAGCAGGCATTTTTTAAAACCTTTTTTTAAAAATAAATGTTTTTATTGATTTTTAAGGAGAGAGAGAAAGAGAAACATCGATGTGAGAGAGAGATATCCACTAGTTGCTTCCCACATGCACCCTGACTGAAGATCAAACCCTCAACCTGGGCATGTGCCCTGACCCTGAATCGAACTGGCAACCTTTCAGTGCATGAAACCACACTCAACCAACTGAGCCACACTGGCCAGGGCAGCTTTTATACCTTTTAGACAAAGAAACATATACTTGTGAGGAATTGACAAGACAGAAGTTTGGGCTTCTTGGGGTAGTAACTTAGTGAAGAAGTAACAAGATTTGTTTATATCAGTGATGGCGAACCTTTTGGGCTCGGTGTGTCAGCATTAGAAAAACCCTAACTTAAAACTCTGGTGCCGTGTCACATATAGAAATTTTTTGATATTTGCAACCATAGTAAAACAAAGATTTATATTTTTGATATTTATTTTATATATTTAAATGCCATTTAACAAAGAAAAATCAACCAAAAAAATGAGTTCGCGTGTCACCTCTGACACGCGTGTCACAGGTTCGCCATCACTGGTTTATATACTAGTAGTTTTCTCAGCCCTAGTTTCCCTGTCTCTAGTGATAAAGATGCCTTCCACCCTCCTGGTCCGTGCTTCATTCGTCCAAAGTGCAAAGGAGGGTCAGACTGTCCTTGCACTGGCTGTTTTTAAAATAATTTCACTTCAAAATAATCAGTATGCCAAAATGGCGTATTTTGGGGTAGCATATTCTTCAACATCCTTTCCATCTTTTTTCATATATATATATATATCTTTTATTCTAGAGAGGAAGGGAGAGGGGAGAGAGAGAGAGAAACATTAATGATGAGAGGGAATCACTGATCAGTTGCCTCCTGCACTGGGAATCAAGCCTGCAACCCGGGCATGTGCCCTGACTGGGAATGAAACCCTGACCTCCTGGCTCATAGGTCGATGCTCAACCTCTGAGCCACTTGGGCGGGCTCATTTCCATCTTGTTTGTGGTTGGGGCAGTGACTTGGGCATTAGGTTAACTTCCACCCGCTGGTAGAAGCCTGAGAGGTGTTACCAAATCTTACACTTGTTTTCTTTCCCTAATTTATCTGTAAGCTGCCCTCAAGGGAATGGGGGGTATAGCTTTCCATGTTTCCGACGTTCCTCAGCCACCTCCTACAGAAAGGCATGGGTGGAGGCAGGATACATCCTTGAACTCTGGCCCCGCACAGGTTTTCCCCCAAATCAATCTTTTGGGGGGTCCGTGCTTCATTCATCCTAAGTGCAGCAAATATGAGACGAAAAGCTTTGTCATGGTGCCGTGCTTGGGAGACAAGCCAGGGAATAAGGCGGCCTTATTCCAAAGTGACTGAAGTATTTTTCCTTTCCCCCTCTGGTGGTGGTGGTGGTGGTGGGGGGACAATGGGACAGGGCACCCTTTACTGTTTCCTAATTCTAGGAAGCCTTGTCATGCAATTCTGGGCAAGGAGGGGAGAGGCACTTCTGGCATAATGAGGGCACACGCGGCGATATCGTTTCACAGCAAACAGGGTGAAAAGCAGAGCGCGAGGAGAATACCAATTTCTCGTTCAGGTCAGAAAGGCACCATCTCCAGGAGGAAATCTGTTCTGTGGGGGAGGCACATTTGCTTCCAGGTATTTACCAGACTGGAGCATCACACCCGCAGCTCTTTCCCCCCTTCATGCAACCAGGGCTCACCCTTTGCCCCGGACAGGGATGGCCACAGCGGGCCAACATTGAGAGAAGCGGGAAGGAAGAGCACCGGGCGTCTGGGCACGTGTGTGCAGGACACCCTCTCTTTGTCACCCAGGTCACAGCTGTAATTCTAAAAGCTGAACAATCTATTCTCTACTTCCAGGGCCAACAGATGTGAGAAATCAGGTGTAAAATGCTTTTCAGTTGCCACCCATGCCTGGCCCAACCCCTTTTCTTAGGTTTCTCAACTGAGGCACTACAGTATTGACATTTGGGGCTGGATAATTCTTTTTTTTTAATATATTTTTATTGATTTCAGAGAGGAAGGGAGAGGGAGAGACAGAAACCTCTATGGTAAGAGAGAATCATCTGCACACCCTCTACTGGGGATTGAACCCCCAACCCGGGCATGTGCCAGGACCAGGAATGGAACCGTGACCTCCTGGTTCATTGGTCAATGCTCAACCACTGAGCCACGCCAGCAGGGCTGGATAATTCTTTCCTGAAAACTTGTCTACAACCGAGGCACAGGCGGGCTTATGAGTTGCTAACGAAGCTGTGGCCTCAAAGCCCTTCCTCTGTCCCTGTTCCTTTCCTTCCAAAGACGGGGCACGGTCCTACCAGTGTGTTCCCAGAGGAAACATTTCTGTGAAAGCTGCAAAAAACAAGATCTTTCAGCTGCAATTAGTTAAAACCACTTCAACGTTTTCATTCCAAAATTTTTATTTATTTTTTATCCTTTTCTTAAAGGTAGTCCCTAATGGGGGTCAGGACACACTACCCCAAAATATGGCATCTTGGCATGTTAAATATTCTAAGCTGAAGGAATCTGAGAAACTGGCAAGAGCCAAGAAGGTCACGCTGACCTCCTCCTCCCCTCGCCCTTTTTCTCTGAAATGGGTCCTAAACTTCCCATGTGAGAGGTGCCCTCCCTCCACCCGGCAGAGAGCATCCTTATCTCTGAAGGAAAAGGGATGCCAAGAAGAACCCTAGTGCACTGACCCAGTTTACTGCAACTACCTCTTACACCTGAACTTACCACATGTTTACATGATGCCCACTCTTCACCAAACCCAGCATATACACACTCAGGTTTCCGAGTCTTCATTCAGGTTCCTTTGGGTCTTTGTTTCCGTAGGAAGGCTCCTGTGTCACGTAAAACATACTAAATGAACAGGTATGCTTTTCTCCTCTTAATCTGTCTGTCTCAGTTTCATTCCGCCCCCCCCCCCCCAGCTGGACTCTAAGAGGGTCAAGGAAAACTTTTCCCTTCCCTTTACCTGCTAAATAACCTGTTTCAGGCCCCACAAAACCCAGATCTGACCCTGGAGTCAACAACCCTGGGTTCAAATCTTGGCTCTACCCCATCCTGAATTATCTTAGAATTTTTCATCTCTTTGAGCCTCAGTTTCCTTATTTGAAAAAAAAAAAAATGAGTTTACTAATGGTGACCCCTCTTTTAAAAAAAAAAATATATATATTTTATTGATTTTTCACAGAGAGGAAGGGAGAGGAATAGAGAGTGAGAAACATCGATGAGAGAGAAACATCCATCAGCCGCCTCCTGCACGCGTCCCCCCCCCCCCCCCCCCCCGTCCCGCCACTGGGGAAGTGCCCGCAACCAAGGCTCATGCCCCTGACTGGAATCAAACCCAGGACCCCCCAGTCTGCAGGCCGATACTCTATCCACTGAGCCAAACCAGCCAGGGCAATGGTGACCCCTCTTAAGATTCCTGTGAAAACAAGCTCCCTGCCTGGAACAACTGAACACTCATTAAATGATAACCATGATGGAGGTGGTGATGTTTATTCTTCCCATTGGTGGACATCAAATGTGGTGACCCCCGGCGTCAGAGTAAGGGCTACTAGCTTCCCAAAGGTGGGAGACCAAGCTGATGCTGAGGGGCTAAAACATTTGGCCAGAACCACCACCCAGGAAAATGTCAGGTTTTGAAAACGATGCTGGGACATTTGGGCTTGTAGTCTGGGCTCCACCGCAGAGAATTGCAGAGGCAGAAGACCCAGAGCTCCCTTCACGGGTGTCCTGCTGGGAGGAGCCCCTCTTTTGATGGATCCCCTCAGTTCCTTCACCAAACACTGAAACGGGGTTAGAAGGAAGGTGGCTTCCAGGTGGTGGAGTCTGTCGGCCTGGCCAGGGACGCTGTGTAAACAGATGCAGCCCTAGGGGCTCCGCAGGTGTCTATTCTGTTTCTCAACCTGAATGGCAGACTCAGGATTCTATTACGATTCCTTTTTTGTTTTTAATATAAAATATTGATTTTAGAGAGGAAGGTAGATGGAGAGTTAGTAACATCAATGATGAGAGAGAATCTTTGATCAGCTGCACCCCACACTGGGGATCCAGCCTGCAACCCAGGCATGTGCCCTGACCAGGAATCAAACCGTGATTTCCTGGTTCATAGGTTGACACTCAACCACTGAGCCATGCCGACCGGGCTTATTATGATTCTTTAAACAGTTAAGACACATCATATACATGTCCTTCGAGCCTAGGGTACGTTTTGCAATTTTTAAAAAAAAATATATTTTATTGATTTTTTACAGAGAGGAAGGGAGAGGGATAGAAAGTTAGAAACATTGATGTGAGAGAAACATTGATCAACTGCCTCCTGCACACCCCTCACTGGGGATGAGCCCGAAACCAAGGTACATGCCCTTGACTGGAATCGAACCCGGGACCTTTCAGTCTGCAGGCCGACGCTCTATCCACTGAGCCAAACCAGTTAGGGCCGTTTTGCAATTTTTGTTTAAACATGAAAACAAACACATGCAGCATAGTTCTTCCTTGTCTGTGTCCCTGGCTCACGGTAATCTCCGGGGCCTCAGTTTCCCCTGCAGTAAAATGGGCCTCTCTAGGATCCTTCTGGTTTTAACAGTGTATGTAAGTCTGTGAAAGTCTTCACCGATCCGAAAAGAGCATTAAGAACTTGAGTCTGACAGCCCATCTGAATGCCTCCCCACTCAGCAGCAAAATGTATTTCTGTCTTGACATCTAAAATGGAAGCTTAATTGCTGCTGAGTGGCTGACAACTGTGAATGTGTTTGGGAGGATTAGAAGAAAGGTGGGTTTCCAGGTGGTGGGAGAATGTCAGCCTGGCCAGGGAAACTGTGGGCCTGCGAGTGGCAGCCCCATCCTCCACGGCCCCTCAGCAAGAAGTGACAGCAGAGCCCGGCTGGGGTGACTCAGTGGTTGAGTGCCAACCCAGGAACCAAGAGGTCACAGTTCCATGGTTCCATTCCCGGTCAAAGGCACATGCCCCCGTTGCTAGCTCGATCCTCAGTGTGGGGCATGCAAGAGGCAGCTAATCAGTGATGCTCTCTCATCGTTGATGTTTCCATCTCTCTCTTCCTCTCCCTTCCTCTCTGAAATCAATAAAAATATATATTTAAAAAAGAAGTGACAGCAGAGACAAAATGTGCCATTTGTAGGTCACTTCCTGTGCCCTAGACACTGCACCAGCTGCTTTTGTGCATTATCCCAAGTAGCGCTTTTGACAACCCTGCAGTAATACTAGTGATGAACCTCATTTGTCGAGAATTTAATGTGTGCCAGGCTCTATCCTAAGCGTTTGATGTAAAATCCCCGTTAGTCCTCATGACTCTGAGAAGGTAGGTGCTACCATCATCCCTAGATTACAGATGAAAAAACGGAGACACTGGTGCCCAAGTGACAGTTAATGCTGGCAGAGCTGGGATCTGAACCAAGCAGTCCGGCTCTTAAGTTCTATACTCTCCTTTCTTCCAGGATAGTTCTGAAGGAGGTACTGTCATTAGTTGCATTTTATGGGTGAAGAAACGGAGGCTCAGAGAGGTGAAGTGACTTAATGTAAAGCTGCATAGCGTGTAAGTGGCAGAGCCAGGATTCAATCCCAGGTTGACATGTGTTCAAAGCCCAGGCAGTTCACCATCGACCCACACTGCCTCTGAAGTAAGTTACCAAAGGGCCATTATGTGTCCAGTCTGTGCCAGTGCAGCTGGGGAGGCACGGAGTGGGAGAGAAGTTGCAGAAGTGCCGTCTCTGCCCGGAGCTGTCACTCAGTGTGACCTCAGGCGAGTCCCAGCTGTACATGAGAGGTCAAGTCTCGGCTCCGTCGTGGCCAGGCAGGTGGTGTGGGAGGAGGATGTGAGGGCTGGCAGAGAGCAAGAGAGGATGCTTTGTGGTCCAGCTGCTTCTGACTCCCAAAGAGGACGGGAGGCCTCTAGCGTGGAGACGTCCCATAGCTTAAATCAGAGAAGCTTCTCATCCCAGGCTCCTCCCTTCTTCCCAGAGGTAATGCTGGGGTCCAACCCCAGCAGGTCCAGGGGTCCCCAAAGGTGTGGACGGAGTCGGCGAAGAAGGAATGACACAGAGATAGCGTTCAGTTGATCAGCAGCCTAGCCAGGATCTCTAACCAGGATCTCCAGCCAAGTTCTGGTCTGGATCTCCAGCGAAGTTCTGTGTCCATGTTCTCTTGCTAGGTTATCCAGCCAGGCTCTCCAGCCAAGTTCTGGTCTGGATCTCCAGCGAAGTTCTGTGTCCATGTTCTCTTGCTAGGTTATCCAGCCAGGCTCTCCAGCCAAGTTCTGGTCTGGATCTCCAGAGAGGTTCTGCTCTGGATCTCCAGCGAAGTTCTGGTTAGGATCTCCAGCCAGGTTCTGTGTCCATGTTCTCTTGCTAGGATCTCCAGGTTCTCCAGCCAGGTTCTGTAGCCATGTTCCCTCGCTAGGTTCTCCAGCCAGGTTCTGTCCAGGTTCTCCAGCCAGGTTCAGTCACCAGGTTCTAGTCAGGTTCTCTTGCCAATTTCTGTAGTCAGGTTCAGTCCAGGATCTTTTGCCATGTTCTCTCCAGCGAAGTTCTTCTGTCTCTAAGTTCTGTGTAGGTTCTGTCTTCTAAGTTCTGTGTTGTTACATCTGTATTTATACCAGTTGATTCCAATCCTATCAATCTCTATTCCAAAGGTTAGGGCGTTTCTTATCTCCATTCCAGGGAGTCAAGATTATGTAGCTTAAGCATGATTGTTCGTAGTTAAAGTGATTAATTACCCGCCTGGCACTTAGTTAAGAGGTTTTATTCCCTCCCTAACTTCAGGGGAAAATCCCTTCCTGGGGAAACAACCTTTCTCAGAGAGGAGACCTTGGTTAAAACACATAGTGCCAAGAAGGTGAGCAAACATATTAAGAACAGTATGCCATATATGCCGGGTCCCTTGAAACAGCAAGGATGGACCGGCTCCCGGCAAGGTAATATTAATACTGATTATGATTATGAACAGTCGTTGTGTCCTCAGGGCCTGGCACACTGTGGCACTCGAGGAAATGTTGACTGGGACCAGGCGATTTCCAAGTGCTTTCCAGTTCTCCATATTTTCCGATTTTGTGGCCACGAAAGATTGGAGCAGGAGAAGCCAGGCAGGGGCCACAGTGAAATGGACAGCGATTTGAGCACATCCAAGCTCCGAGTCCAGCCGGGGTGCAGCTGAGCATTTTATCTGGGATCCCAGGCCATCCCGGGAGCAACTGCGCCTCCTCAGCTTCCCTTTTCAGTACCAGCCGCCCCTTTGGGTGCACTCTGAGGAGCACCGGCTGAAATCTGCCCGAGGCTGGCCACCTGGAAGAAGCCCTTTTCTCCATGTCCTCCAGCGGCCAAGGGGGGTGAGTGACACAGGAGGAGGAGGCTGCAGCCCCACAATGAGGCCTGAGCCACAGCCCCGCCCACCCCCAACACCCCTCACACAATTTGCCGGCAGGCTGCAACCCTGGTTTTTGTTTGTTTGTTTTGGGCCTTGATGGACCATTCTTGGAACTTATAACATCAATAGATGGAGAACCAGAAACACACATAACTTGTATGGCTTAGACGATGATTTCTGTTATTTTATCTATTTGTATATACTCTGATTTCCCCACCCCCAAGATAGATATAAAGCACCATGAGGTTGGTCGGTGTGGCTGAGGCTGGCACTGAGCAAGGTTGCGGTTCCATTTTTCTGTCCCCAGGACATACTCCTTCCTACCCCAGGCCCCTAGATGGTGGCCCTTCCCAGCTGCATGTCACCTAAGCCCAGCTGACGGTTGATGGGTCAATGACCTTTCTCAGGGGTGTTTGAGTTTGAAAAGCTTGGGAAGCCCCAGCACCCAACTTCTTCCGGCAGCAGTTCCCTGGAGCCCAGTGTTCTGGGAGATGGGCCAGGTGACCTTTCACACAGTCAATCAGTCAGTAGGGTTCACTGGTGCCAGGGCCGGGATACAGGAGAGAAAATGAGGATCCTGCCCTCGAGGCCTCCCCAACAGCTGGGGAGACAGGCCCGTTACAAAGAACATAATGGAATCATTGAAATGAGAACAAAGTATTGTAAGAGGCCATTTACTGAGTACTTCCTGCGGTCAGGAGCTCTGCTACTTGCTTCATTATACATCATCACCCTGAAACCTCATGGGGACCCTGTGAGGCCCCCCTTGTACAGATAAGCAAATTGAGTCTCAGAGGGGTAAAGCAGTCTTCAAGGCCCACAGCTCCTACGTGGCTGAGCCAAATCTGTCAGACTGAAATCTGCCTGGGAAGTCAGGGAGGCTTTGCAGAGGAGGCAGCTTATAATTGAGGCTTAGGAGGTGAGTAGGAGACGGGCAGGTAGGAAAGTTGAGGGGGAGGAGGGAGGAAGACAGCATTTCAGAAGGTGGGAGCCAACTAAAGCTCAGCAAAACTCCCACCTCCCATGCCCCAGTTGCCCTCCCCTGGTACAGACCCTGCCCGGGGGTCGTCATCCGCCCTGGAAGCCGGTGCCTTCTGAGCCCCGCTGCGCTTCTCTCTCTCACTGCGCTCCTCTGGCGGGAAGCGTTTCTGGGAGGCAGAGTGACAAGAGCACATGCTTTGGGACTGAACCCTCCTGGGTTCACATCCCAACTTTGTAACTTCCTTGCTGTGTGGGCAAGGCCCTTGCCCTCCCTGAGCCTCAGTTTCCCCATCTACAGTAGGGGGATAATACCACCTCCTGAGTTTGTTCTCATGATTGGCGGAGAGGATGCGGCCAGATCTCCTGGCAGTGAGCATGGCACAGTAACTGCCAGCTGTTATTCCTATTAGGAGGCGTGAATGCTTCAGTTCCAACACGTTAATTTGGGGGCCGAAACGTCTTCCATGGGAGCAGATGCCCTGTGGCTCTAAACACCATCTGCGGGCTAAAAGCTCTGCAGGGTGCAGCGAGCATTACATTAAACCAGGAGATTCATGTATGCAAAGCGCTCTGTCCGAGGCCTAGCACGGAGCAGGTGGTGCTCCAGGAATGAGAGCTCTCCCTGATGTTTATAATGCAACCAGCTTTTTTATGCGGACATCAAACAGCTGCAAATAACCATGATTTGCAGAGGAATTTTTTTTTTTCTTCAGAAATTCATCTCATGCTCTCTATCAAGAGACCTTCATCTGGTATGAGCACTTTATCTCTATTTACAAACCTCATCAGGTTCTGTCCTGTAGTTTAAAGAAAGTTACTTGTTGGCACTCGTGATTTTGTTGTAACTGGAAAAGGGATGTGATTGCCTTAGGGCCAAAGATCCAGTGTGAGGTTGTCACGGAAACAACTTAATGTAAATTTTTTTTTTAAATATATATTTTATTGATTTTTCATAGAGAGGAAGGGAGAGAGATAGAGAGAGTTAGAAACATCGATGAGAGAGAAACATCGATCAGCTGCCTCCTGCACATCCCCCACGGGGATGTGCCTGCAACCCAGGTACATGCCCTTGACCGGAATCGAACCCGGGACCTCTCAGTCCGCAGGCTGACGCTCTATCCACTGAGCCAAACCGGTTTCGGCAACTTAATGTAAATTTTATTTTCCAGTATGCCCAGCTGTTATTGGTCAGGAGGGAAGGGGGAAAGCTAGAAGCGATTTTCTCCAAAAAGGAAGAGAAACACATTACTAGGGAAAGGCTGACAGATGAAGAGAAATCATTTTTCTGCTCAGGGAAAAGATAGTACAAAGGGTCATGATTCTGATGAGGTAGAGAATGCATGACTTAGAGCTTTCTTTTTGTTTTTCCTTCTGTCTATGGATGGAGATTGGGGTTGGGGGGGTGGGGAGTTAGGAGGAAAGAAAGAAAGGAAAACAGCTAATTACCAGTAGCACTCCCATCTAAACGTATATAGTCTTCATGGCTGTGAGGACATCACTGGCCTGTAAGCAAATCCACGTGTAAGGGCGTTCGTTGTTAAGGTGTTTTCATGCTCCACAGAGATGTTTAGATATGCATCCTAGGACTTAAAGAGATGAAGAGTGAGTTACAAATACTTTCTATTCTATCCATAGCCCTAAGTCAAGGTTAAGCTCAGCAGTAATAAATAATAGTTACGAATAGGTGATATCTGGCTGCTTATATGAAACTAATTTTGCAATAATTGCATATGTTTTAATAGAATATATTATTATATAGAACATAACATTCTTCTAGTGTGTCATCGGTCTTTCTAAAAAAACAAGGTTTCTCTATTCACTAACACACCTCTGCTAAGCTTTTGAGTCAGCAGCTGAGTCACCAGCCAGTTGACAAATGTTTAAGTGTCTAATGTTTGCCGGGCCCTGTGCTAGGCCTGCGGGCACAGTCAGAGTTCCTTCCCTCATGGATTTTATAATCTAGGAAGGGATTCAAACAGTCAGTGAAAATTACATAATTGTATTATAGGTCTGGGAAGTATTAGAAAGGACAAGTCCAGCAAAATGAAAGGATGAGCTTCAAATCAAGTACGAGAATGTCACTTGCTCAGAACATGAGTCCCAGAACTCCAATTCACATGCTTCCTGAATTCAGCAACTTAAAAAACAATTTTTTTTATTTTTTTATTTATTTTTTTTTTAGTATCCATTATGTGAAAGGTATAAAATAGACACGATCCTTGCCCTCAACAAGCTTGCACTCAAAGTAGGGAGACCGGTATGCATGAATGACGTATTGTAGTTCTGTTATTAGCTAACAGTCATTGAGGCCTCCTTATGGACTAAGCACTGGCATGTATTATCTCATTTAAACCTCACAACAACCTCATCATGTCAACCTCATCATTAACCCCATTTTTTTCATGGGGAAACATGAGTCATAAGTTGGTGAAATAACTTGGTCAAGGTTGCACAACTTGGAGTGGGGATTTGAACCCAGGCAGTGAGGTTCCAGAACCAACTACCAGGCCACTGTTTGCTGCCAATCAGGCCGTGTGAGCAGCTATTTGAACCTGTTTTGGACAGAGGCAGGAATTTGGAAATGGCATACTCTGGAAGTAGTGGGAACGGCCAGAATTCAGAACAGAAATCCCCAAGATGCAGAGTTGTAAAAAGAACCCTTTCCATTCCTCAGGGTTGGGGTTCATCTAGTCCCACCGCCTCCTTTGTCAGTTGAGCCACCTTTGGGGCCTGCTGTGAGGATGCTGAAGAGCTGAGAGTATTTAACAAGCCCAAAATGCTGGAGGCGAGCAGGCCTGTGGGACGCCCAGGTCAGCTGGGCACGTGCCAGGCCTGTTGGCAGGGCTGCAAGAAGAGAGCAGCCACCAAGCACATGTGGCCCTCGGAAATGGTCCCAGAAAAGGAGACCCCAGGAAAAGGGCATGGAGCTGACAAGCCTGGATTGGGACCTTGAGGCTTGCGGTTGTCAGTGACCCCTGAGTGACCCCAGGTACCACCCTGGGCCCCGGCTTCTTCTTCTGGCTATTCTCACTGCTCCACAACGTGATGTTTCCAAATTCCTGACCAATAGTCTAGCGTGAGGAAATAGAAACGAGGGGTGTGACCTGCTCAGTCACACGGCCAAGGAGTGAGGAGCCTGGATGCCAACCCAGGCTCTCCTCCCACCTGTCAGGTCCTTCCCACGCTCAAAGGCCCGGGCCCCTGCACTGAGTCAGAGCCCCAGAACAAGGAACCAGTTTGCCCTCTGATGGCTTCCCTAAACCAGTCCCATCACAGACCACCTTCTCCCTGCCCGCTCCAGGCTACCCAGAGAGCTCCCTGAGGGCCAGATGAAGCACCATCCCATCACCCAGCCCGACCCTCCACTCGGCAGAATGGGTCTGCGATTGATGGATGCAACTATTTCCCTGAAAAGCAATTAAAACCAAGTGGGCATTTGCAGCTTCGGCTGTTGGGGTGGCAAGTGCTGCCTCAGTTACTTCTGAAATAATTAGTGGCTGTGCCTGTCTAATCTCAGTTGAGGTGTGAAGAGCAGGAAAAAGAGGGTCACTGCCTCTGCCCCTTGAGGGACTTGGAGGGTTATTTTTATAAACTGGGCCTCAGAGCCTTTGCCAAGACGGCCCCTCCTTTCCTGCTGTGCGGCCTCAAGATGGCAGACGGTCTGCCTGGGTCTCACTGAACCGGCCAGACATGTCCTCCCCCGAACAGACAACTCTAGACACGTTTTTCCTCACACTCAGGCTCACACGTTCTCACACAACAGCACTGTGCAAGGCCCGTGCTCGGCCCCCGCCCAGCCACACCCATGAGGGCGCACCAGGGGACACAGTACAGACAGAGCCAGAGGCAAGCTGGCACCCACTGTGCCCAAGGCCAGAGATCAGATGTCACATCTACCGTGTGCCAGGCTCCCCAACAGCGTCACTTCCTCTCACAACACCTTCATGGACAGAGGCTTTACCACTCTCACCCCATTTGCCAGATGGAAACACCGAGGCTTAGAGAGAATAGGTCACCAGTCCCATAGATAGTTTATGGCAAAGTCCGTGGGACCCTGGAGCTCTTAACCAGTAAATTAGTCCAGGAGAGCCAGCAGGCCAGTGGAAATCACGCCGGCTAGAAATTCCACTGGGAGTAACCACTGAGATGCAGGCCAGGTCTTCACACTATATGTGAGAGCAGAGTGTCACAGGGATGTATGTCACTGGGGAACAAAGCCACCAGCTATCGACTCCTCCAAAAATAATGAAAATGTGGCTCTCAGGGGCTCAAGCAGCTGTCTAGGGCCATCCACCAGGCAGCCCTGGGCAGCGGGGACAGCCTCTGCCCAGCAGCCTCCTTGAGGGCAGAGGCTGGCACTGGGTCCCAGGGGTCACTGCTCCTTCCCCTGCTTGTGGCTCCCCTGCTCTGTTTCCTGACAGGTGACCCCAAAATCCCGTTAACATACGGGAGCGTCTGCATGTTTCTCTTGTGTTGAGCAAAGGAGGTACTTGGGAGGCCCAGCCTTTTGGGTTAAACACCAGAGGACAAAGAAAGCAGTGTCCGTCCGCCACTGTGGCTCAGGACGCCCAGAGAAGTAATAAGTGATATATCTACATGGTCTGAGACACCAAGAGTCTGCATGGAAATCTCCCAGACCAGAGTCCTCAGCTCCAAATTAACTAAGCATGTGACAGAACAAACAAAAACCCTCCAACGAGGGCAGTTTATTTATTTTTAATTAGAAAATGTGTGCATGGTCATCTGTAAAGAAAATTTTCCTTTTTTATGCGTAAATGAATACATGCACATGTATGTCTCTATAGTATTAGAGCTTTTATTTCTTCTGCTTTCTTTCTGTACAAAAAAAAATATTCTTTATTATTCTGGAACATACTTTTTTCATTTTGTGCATACCTTTCCAATATATTTGGATGTGTCTATTCTTTTCATAAATCTAAAGGGGTTTTTTTTGGGGGGGAGGAGGAGTGGTTAGTTCTTTTTATTTTACTTTATTTTTTCCATCACCATTTATTCCCTCTATGCCTCAAGTTTAATAAGTAATACACTCACATGGTTCAGCATTCCAAGCGTATTCAAAGATGAGCGTGCCTCCCACCCTTCTCCTCCAGGGCTGGCTCCCCAGAAGCGATCAGCAGTTCCTTCCTTGTGCATCCTTCCAGGGCTGTGGTGAGCAGGGCTGAGCAAATGTGAGCAGACCTCGTCCCTCCTGTGCCTTGCTTGTCTTCCACTTAATACCATGTCGAAGGTCATTCACATCCATATGCAACATTTTATTCTCTTTAGTCATTAATAATATTCTATGCTGGGTGTGTAGACCGCCTTCCCTTCTTCCACCGATGGACCTTCCTCTTGCTTCCCCAGTCTCTGGCTTCTTGCTGTTCCAACGAGCACGTCGGTGAGTCTCCTGTACACCTGCCGCTGTGTCCTCAAGCTTTCCTTCCCATCCGACAGACCCCTGGAAGTGGAATGGGTGGGTCAAAAGGTATGCCTGCTTCACATGTTCATAGACAGGGCCAGGTTATTTTCCTGTGGGTTGTAGCAGTTTGTGGCTCACCAGCACGTCCTCACATTTTAGTTAGTCTAACGTTTGCCAATCCGCTGAGAGAAAAAGAGCATGTCCTGGTTCTAATGTGCACGGCCCTGGCTTCTCTGTGAGGTCGAACATCTTTTCAAAAGTGTTTTGGCCACTAGCAGTCTGTTTCTATGAGTTTGTCTGTCTCCTTAGCCCACTTTTCTTGGTCTTATTCTTGTTTACTTCTTAGGACCGTTTTTGGTTTTTTTTGTATTGTTTTAGGTGGAAATATTTTCCCCTAATTTGTTATTTTGACTTTGTTTAGAGTGTCATGGGCCAGAGCGAGAAACATGTATTTTTTGTGTGTGCAGTCCAATCTGTCAAGCATGATAATTATTTTAAGGAAGGGAAATTTATTTTAGTTTAAAAGAGAGACATTTTTAATTTAGGGAGTGTAATTTCCATGAGAATGCTGATTTTGCTTGCTTGCCAGATGCTTTGCTATTCCAAGGAATGCAAGAGAGAAAATAACAGAAGTCAATCGATACATCGAAGCTTTGAACACTGCTTTGTTTCAAAGGACTCCCCAGCTCTAAGTGATGGTGACAATGATGATGATGATGAAACTGGGAATGTGGGTAGCAGGTGAGATAGTCACCTGAAGTTACTGGTGGTTGTTTTATTACACTTATTGGGAGGCCTATTTGAGAATTAAGCTGATATAGTAAAAAATACAGCCTGGATTCAGCTAAACCTGAAGCAGTGCTCTCTTAGGCTTTTTCAGTTATGTGACCAATAAGTACCCTCCACCTTTTTATTGCTTAGCTCAAAAGTCTTGACTAACAGTATGCTCACTAAGTATAAATTGAAAGAATAAATGCATTCTCAATATTTGCTACACTCTTTGGCATACAGTAGGTCTTAATCAATCTGTATCTAATGAAGTCCTCCAAGTAAGAGACAAGAAACCTTGTCTGTTTGGAAATAGACAGGACTAAGATAAAAAGTCTGAGATCTTATAAAAAATTGGGGGCTCACATTTTCATATATTCAAGCCACTCATGGAAGCCACCAAGAACCAGAAAGGACCCTTGGCCAGTGTGGCTCAGTTGATTATCATCCCATGTACCAGAAGGCTGCCGGTTCTATTCTTAGTCAGGGCACATGACCAGGTTTGATTCCCGGTCCAGGTGCAGGCAACCAATCAATGTTCCTTTTTCTCTCTCTCCCTCTCCCTTCCTCTCTCTCTAAAAACAATAAAAACATATTTTTAAAAAAGAAGAAGAACCAGAAAGGACCCGCCCTCTGTCAGTATCATACATCTCTAGGTGGTCCTGTTCCCTTGTTCCCTGGAATGGGTCATCCAAACAAAAGGCTTTCCCCCTAGGTGTACAAATGGAGTTGGAGCCCATCACACTCGGGGTCAAACATTTGGTCTTCAATGAAACAATCCGCAGATAGGTGATCAAAGCACTACTATATCTGATTTCCAGCACAACTCAATCTAGGGACGATAGTTACAGTCTAGGCAGGGGATGTTAACCTGGGTCCATGGACCCCAAGAGTTCCATGGACAGAATTTAGTCAGGTTATGGACTTAGAGAAAAATGACATCTGTTTTCACTATCTTCTATCTGAACATTAGTATCACTTCAGTTACGAATGCAGGCAATAAACCAAATACTATTAGCAAATCCTGTGGCTTTGGCTCCAATAAAAGTCATAGATATTTTGGTATCATATTATGATTATTGCTGATATCTTAAAATATTATTTATGATCATCACAACTTTGAAATTAGTCCAGATACCAAAACTTGTGATTTGATGTGCTAATAAACACTGTTATTATAATATTACTAGAAGAGGTCCAGTGCACGAAATTCATGCACAGGTAAGGTTCCTAGGCCTAGCCGGTGTTCAGGACTAATCTGCAGGGCGACTGGCGGGGCGATCAGGGGGCCCCCCGCTGGCACCTGCCTTGGCTGGCCTGGGGCCTGTGGGCTGGGGGAAGCTCCTGTGTTGAGCGTCTGCCCCCTGGTCGATTTGCATGTTAGGCTTTTATTATATAGGATGGATTAAAAATATATATTTTTTGACAACTGTATTTCATTATAATTCATTTCCTTTATAATCCTCTGTAGTTTATGCATTTATTTATTTTTAAATATTTTTATTGGTTTTTAGAGAAAGAGAAAGAGAAAGGGAGAGGGAGAAATAGAAACACATCGATTAGCTGCCTCCTGCATGTCCCGCAACCCAGGCATGTGCTCTGATGGGGAATTGAACCGGTGACTTCTTGGTGCATGGGTGGATACTCAATCACTGAGTCAAACCCGCCAGGCATATTTTATGCATTTAAAAACATGTTCTGCCCAGCTGGTGTGGCTCAGTTGTTGAGCGTCGACCTATGAATTAAGAGGGACGGTTCAGTTACCAGTCAGAGTATATGCCAGATTGTAGGCTCAGTCCCCAGTGTGGGGCATGCAGGAGGCAGCCGATCAGTGATTCTCTCTCGTCATTGATGTTTCTATCTCTCTATCCTTCTCCCTTTCTCTCTGAAATATATCTATATAATAAAAGCCTAAGTGACTGTTACGGCAGAACGACCAGAATGACCGGTTGCTATGATGAGCACTGACTACCAGGGGACAGACACTCAATGCAGGAGCTGCCCCCTGGTGGTCAGTTCACTCCCACAGGGGAAGTGCCAATCAGCCAGAAGCTGGGCTCATGGCTGGTGAGCGCAGCAGAGTAGCGGGAGCCTCTCCCATCTCTGCTGCAGGTGGGCGGTAAGGAGCAAGGGGTCTGGACTGTGAGAGCCCCGGACTGCAAGAGGGATGTCTGACTGCCAGGGGTTGGGCCTAAGTCAGCAGGCTGACATCCCCTAAGGGGTCCTGGACTGCGAGAGGGCACAGGCCAGGCTGAGGGACCTCCCCCTCCCCCCAAGTGCATAAATTTTGTGCACCGGGCCACTAGTATATATATAAAAGCTGGACATAGCTCAGCACATGCCCAAGTCTTCCTCTCTTTGCCTGAGAACTACCTTCATCCTCAACCCATAACGGTCCAAGGCACGCTATTCTGAGTGATGAGCAGGTGTTTGGGAATTTCTCCCTGACTCAGCTTTTCTTCTCAGGATAAGCTCTGGAGGCAGCCTGGTGCTGTCACTGTGCATAAAGCACTAGATGGTCAGAGCCAGAGCATCCTCTAGACCTTATGCTATAAATGGAGAAACTGAGTCCCACAGGTTGTGCGGATTTCCTTCAGGGACACGGATTAGTTGCTGTCCTTTCTAGAATTTGTTTCATCTCTTCTCTGCATCCTTCCTACCTGAGCAGGAGAATGAAGGGTCCACCCTAGGCATTTCAGGGCAAATGGCAGTGAGAAGTAACATAAGAGCCAACTCTCCAGCACTTAATCCTGCCTGGCCTCATGTGAAGAGCTGTATACGCAACACCTCACTCCTCCCCACTCCAATCGAAGGAGGTACTACTATTCCTCTTACATTAGAGAAAGCCCCAGTCAGGGCCACAGACCTCGTCCAAAGTCACATGGCTAATAAGTGGCAGGGCCAGGGTTTGAATCCAGACAAGCCTGTGTGCTCGCTCCGCAATGCCATCCCAGAACCCCTTCTGCTTCTCACGTTTATCAAGGTCCAATGACTCCGTGACTTTATGGTCTTGCTCTTGCATGGGGTCAGCATTGCCCCAGTTGGAGACCCCCACTCCCGCAGCCTCTCCCTAGTACCTCACTGTGGCCTCACCCCCCAGGCCTCACTGCCCATTGTCCAGAGTTCATGCCAGTTGCTGCTCCAACTGGAACCCAGGTCCAAGAGGCGCCCTGGCGCACCACTCTCGCTCTATCTCTAGATGACAGGGCTGCATGGACCTGCTAATTGTGTTTGTATTTGGCCTGATTTATATTTGTGCTTAGCATGCATCCACACCCCCCGCCAGGAAAGCAGATGGGCACTTGTGCCTTCCAAAGACACATAATTAAGGCAATTTAGCATCTTCCTCAAAGGATGCTCTTCCTCCTCCTCCAGGAGGGAGGAAATGTCTTTGGAGCTCTTCAGAATGTTTGAGATTTAATTCTACTTTGCTCACAGCTGGTCCAATCTGGGGAGGACTAAGGAGGAAGAAAGAGGAAACATTTTTTTTGCCTAGGGCCTGGGGCAGGAGGGGAGGAGGCACAGGGCATGGGGGAGAGGGAACTTTGGACTTTGCCAAGGTCTCTTTTCCTTCCAGAGCCTTCAGTGACTACATTTGTTCTGATAAAAGTATCAAAATAAAACAACAGCCCTGGCCGGTTTGGCTCAGTGGATAGAGCGTTGGCCTGTGGACTGAAGGGTCCAGGGTTCGATTCCAATCAGGGGCACATGCCCGGGTTTCGGGCTTGACCCCCGGTGGGAGGTGTGCAAGAGGCAGCTGATCAATGATTCTCTCTCATCATTGATGTTTCTCTCTCTCTCCCTCTCCCTTCCTCTCTCTGAAATCAATAAAAATATATTTACAATAAATAAATAAATAAATAAATAAATAAATAAATAAATAAAACGACTCAGCAATAGTTTTGAGGAGCCTTACAGATTCAGAATCCCTGGAGATGTTTAGCAAATTTTTTTTTTCATCATAATGAGTAATTTATTCATTCAATCCACAAATATTTATTGAACACCTATCATGAGACTCTGAGTTTAACATGGTGTCTAATACTTGCTTAGCAAATTTCACAGTGGATCCTGACTCAAGCCAGGTTGTTAAACCTTTGGTTTCGAAGTATTCTTTGAAAATGTATTTATTTATTTAGTGTTTGTAGAATTTTAGAGCCAGAAGTTATCTTAGAAACTTCTCTTATACAGCATAAAGTTTGCTGATGTAAAGTAACTTGCTCAAAAGGTTCATACCTCATTTTTCTCTTTCTTTATATATAATTACATAACTTATGTGCTTGTAAAAAATGCCAACAATATCTTATATGTAAGAGAGTAAGAGGTGAAAGTGCCTTGCTCTTGCCCCATCCTCCTTCCCCCCACCCCCCACCCCCCAAGCTGACCACTGTTAGAAGCTGGGTGTAATTCTTCCCAGGTGTCTAGCATTCATGTGCATTTTACAGCTGTATATATACACAGATGTAGCTTTGGGTACATGGCTGGGATCACATCTGGTTCTATAACTTGCTTTTTTTCATCCAGAGAGCTTATCATATCAATAGAGATCTACCAAGGTTTTTAAAAAAATGGCTTCATGGTAGATCATACTGTAGATATAATATCATTTATTTCACCAAAAGGAATAAAAAATGCATCTAGGCCATCTTCATTTTTTTCCACTATGATAAACATACATCTGTGTGCATGTGGAAGGGTATTTCTGTAAGATGATACTCAGCAGTGGAATTGTCAAGAGCATGCTTACTTAAACTTCTGATAGTTGCTGCCAAGCTGTTCTCCAAATTAGACTGTCCCAATATGCACTGCTCCCGGTAGTGAATGCGGGTCCTACTTCCCCACACCCTAGTCCATGCTGGGTATTACCAACCTTTTTCATTTACTTTTTAAACTTTATTTATTGATTTGAGAGAGAGGAAGGGAGACAGACAGACAGACATTGGTGTGTTCTTCCACTTATTTATGCACTTATTGGTTGATCTTTGTATATGCCCTGACCGGGATCGAACCCAAAACCTTGGTGTATAGGGATGACACGCAAACCAACTGAGCTACAAGGCCAGAACTATTACCAACCTTTTAAAATTTCTCCAGTCTGATAGGTGAAAATCAGCTCTAATTTCTCAAAACTGTCTTTCAATTTCCATGTATTTCTACATGGAATTTGGAGGTTATGTTTGGAAGGGAACCCTTGAGACTTTAAAAGGAAGCTTAGGAATCTCAAATGTGACTGTCAATTGATTCTCCACACCAGAAAGTTCCCTGGAATGTCAGCAACTGTCAAACTGCCGTGTCTTTGGAGAGATGAGAGCTGCTCTTTCCATAGTACCTACAGGTTAAATTTGGAAGTGGCGTTCGGCATTCATGTGTTAGTATCATTTTTTTCCAAGCCCCTTTTTAGGATTAAACCCTGCCTTTCAGCTTAGTTGGGTCCCAGTGAGAGTGGTGTGATGGGCTATAAAATCATAAAACTGGTAGACTTCTGCCCTATTTCTCTCTGCTCCATTCGACATTGAGAAAGAACCCACTACTTGCCAGGTTTCTCTCTGTAACTAGAGTAACACATAGCAGCAGCACCCTCGGGAACAAGGGGCTCATGAGTTTTAGGGAGACAAGGTGGGGAAAAGGCCGGAAGCAACTCTGTGGAGCCATCCCTGGGCCGGGAACACTACTGGCTACTCTTCTCTTGTCTCTTTTCATCTCGGTTCTGGGGTAGCAGTCCCTCACTTCCTATTTGCACTTTTCATAGTGCTTCCCTGTGAATCATGATCTTGTTGTTTCCCGCCATCCTGTGAGAGTAGATGGTCTGAGTCCTATTTTTTTTTAAATATATACTTTTATTGATTTCAGAGAGGAAGGGAGAGGGAGAGAGAGAGATGGAAACATCAACAATGAGAATCACTGACTGGCTGCCTCCTGCATGCCCCCTACAGGGGATCGAGCTCGCAACCCAGGCATATGCCCCTGACCGGAATCGAACCCAGGACCCTTCAGTCCACAGACCAACACGCTATCCACTGAGCCAAACAGGCCAGGGCTATTTTATAGTTGGACAAATAGTCACGGGCTGTGGCATGGACCCCAGAGAGAACATGGAATCCTAGTTCTCTCAAGTTTATTAGCTCTGAGGCCTTGGGCAAGTTACTGCCCTCTCTGTGCCGTCTCTGCATCTGTAACATGGGGCAAATAAAGACCTCAAGGGCTGGTTGGGAGCTCTTTATGGAAAGTGCTCCTCAAGGCAGGGCCTGGCACGCAGGAAGCTGTTAGCAGGGCCTCTTGTTTTCACCCAGCTTCCCAGATTGACCTGGGAGTTATTTTCATTCTCTGAGCCTCAGATTTGCTCATCCATAAAATGGGATGACAACCCCCTCCTCGAAGATTAATTATGTAAGTGCTGTGCCCGGTGCCTTGTCACCCACTGGCCCCATCTGTTTCTCAGGCCTCAGCCTTTCTCATTGTCTGCCGTGCTCAGAGGCGTGCTATCCCGGAACGCTCTGCTCCCAACCACCAGGATGGAATCACAAGACTGCGGAGGGCGCAAGTTAACTGAGGATACTCTGTCTGAGGCTGGCATCGGTCCTATGAGAACAGTGAGTTTCTCAGAAATACTCCTATTTTTCTTCCTCCCTCTTCCCCACAGCCACTACCTGGAGTCAGGCCCTACACTTCTTCTTTTTTATTTATTAAATATATTTTTATTGATTTCAGAGAGGAAGGGAGAGGGAGAGCGAGATAGAAACATCAATGATGAGAGAGAATCATTGATTGGCTGCCTCCTGCAGGCCCCACACTGGGAATCCAGCCTGCAACCCAGGCATGTGCTCTGACTTGGAATCGAACCAGGGACCTCCTGGCTCATAGCTCGATGCTCAACCTCTGAGCCACACTGGCTGGGCAGGTCCTACAGTTCTTGCAACAGCCTCTTGCCTGGTCTTCCCCATGGCAGACCCTCATCTTCATCCATCCTACACCCTAGTTCTGGAGTTTTTTCCACTCCACATACTGAAGGTGGAGTAAACCTTTCAATTCAACTGTTGTCTGTTCAAGTACCCGATTTTTATTAGGCACTTACTCTGCACCCAACACCGTGCTAAATATTTTATAGGCATCATTTCATGTACTCGTTGCAATACAGGTAGATACTTTTATTATGCCCATTATACAGATGAGCAGGGAACTAACTTATCTAAGGTCACATAGCCGGTAAGTAGAGGAGTGAGATGTAAACACTAAAATCCTCACCACAACCCTGCAAGGTTTTATATTATTTTACTCACTCAAGAACTACCTACTGTGTATCTAGCATGTGCAGGCATAACTCTAGGTCTGGGGACAGGGTGGCAAACAGAATAGACAATAGTGGAGCAAATGGACGGTAAACAGAACCCTAAATAATAAAAGCATAGTATGCAAATTGTTCCCTCAACTGGAGTTCTTCCAGGAGTTTGAACAGGGAACCAACAGCCGGGACCCTACCAGTGCATGAATTTTGTGCACTGGGCCTCTAATAAAAATATAACATCAGTAAAGTGCTAAGAAAAATATACCACAGCAGGGTGAGGAGATAGAGCATGTTAGAGAGGGGGGTTCCGGGAGGGACCCCTTGAGAACGAGACAGCAGAGAGGAAAACAGAATGAAATAAGGGAGAGAGGAAACAGAGGTTCCAAGAGGTGATGGGTCTGGCTGAGGTCACCTGGCAAGAACGAACAGCCAGGTGAATGGGAACTCAAACCCGGGTCCACATTTCTTCTCTGTTTCTTGCAGCCTCAGTTCCTCCTGAGAGATTCCTGAGACTTCCAGGAGCTGAGGGGTGAGTTAGAGGCTTCCTCCTGGCCACCTGGGGGCAGAAACATCAAAGTCCTTCTCAAATGGCTTTGTCATGAGTTAAACCAAGATACCAGGCCATCATCTCCTCCGGGGCATGTGCCTCCACTCACAAAACATTTCAGCCTTTTTGGTTGAAATGACTGGTTAGAGTGGACTAAGTCGAATATTGCCTTTAAAAAAAAAAAAAAAAGAACAGAACTGATGATTGGATTTTGCTAAGATGACTAAGCTGGCCCCATCCCCAGTCCATGTCAGTCCTGCGGGAAGTCAGAAGTCAAGGAAAATGTGTCCTCTTGGCAAATGACTGACCCTCCAGCCCAGCCCCAGAAGTCTCAGAGAGCAGAGAAGTAGGAAGCCATGTCAAATCACAAATCACAAAGATTTCTCTCCATGACAAATCCTGGGAATCTGGTGGTGATGTGAGGGGTGGGAGGGGGTGTTTCAAATTTCACAAACATTTAACGATTGGCCAGGCCCAGGGGTAGGTATTTCCATGTCGTGTTTCATTTCATTCTCATTAATAACCCAGTGAAGTAGGCACTAACATCCCCATTTTACAGATGAGGAAACTGTGGCTCAGAGAAATGCCATCCAGCCCAAGTGAGCAGCAGACCTGTCTAATTCTCAAGCCCACGCCTTTTTCTCTCTCACGCATTATCTCCCTTCTGTTTTCCAGCTCCCAGCTCAGTCATCTCCCCCACCCACAACTCTGCAAGAAAGATGTTATTATCCTTATTGTATAGGTGGGTCATGTGACTGCATTGGTGGAGTTGTCCCATTTTACAGATGATGTTACTGAGGCAGAGGAAGGTACAGTACTGGAATTTGAACTCAGACCCACTGACTTGCCTCTACACCCCAGCAGCCCCAGGGAAGACAGTTGGAGTGGGATGAGCAGAAACAATTGGGAATATCAAACTCTGCCTGTTGCTTCAGCTGGTTTAAACTTCTTTACATTTGCACCGCAGAATCGAAAACTTTTCCTGCAGGAAAAAATGCTTGTCTTGGGGTCAGACTGAATGTCCTCTGTGAGCTGAACTTCTCTGCTGTAGCTTAAACCCGCCCCAGGCTGATCTGAGTCAAGAGAGGCCCCTTCCTCCTTTCCTGGCGGGCACCAGCCTCCGCCTTGCTGTTCCCTCGGATTTTTATTCCCTGGGCGAAGCAATGGAGCTCTTAATTAAATTCTCTTGTTAGAAGTCAAGCTTGAGGAAAACAAACAGAAAAACCTCTCCTGTGGGACGGGTTTCTTTCCAGCTCGCTGGGAGGCTTGATGCTGGAGATAGTATCCCTGGCCGACCTCGGACATCCATCCCTCACTGCTCGGGGAATTTCCTGTTGGCGCCTTCCTTGGCTCAGTCCCGCCCTGCTGGAGCAGAGGAAACTGTGATGGGAGGTGTGGGGATGTTATCAGAAGTTTCAGTGTGTGGTGTGAGTCTCTGGTTAGTTGTGAGTCTCTGGGCTCCAGTGCAGGGGGCTTGGGGGGAAGGAAGGAGGGGAGACTTCAAAGACCAGGAGTGGGGGTGGCAGGAGGCACTGAGACCATGGTGGGTACTTGTTCCCGAGGACAGCAGACACTTGATCACACCAAAGTGACTCCCATTCTCCCCTAACCACACTCTAATGGACACAAGGAACCATGAGGAGCTGGAAAGAGCACTGGACTTCGAGTCAGGAAGCCCAGGGTCTAGTCCAGATCTATTACTAACTCACTGTTTTAATCGTAAACAGAGCAAACTGTTGTGGGATTACATGTTAAGTGTTATGCTAAGCCCCATGCATAGATGATCTTATTTAATTCTCACAAATCCATCCTTTTTAAAAAATATTACATATATGTAATTGATTTTAGAGAGGAAGGGAGAGGGAGAGAGAGAAACATCAATGATGAGAGAAAATCATTAATTGGCTTCCTCCTGCATGTCCCCTACAGGGGATCGAGCCCACAACCCGGGCACGTGCCCTTGATCAGAATCGAACCCAGGACCCTTCAGGCCAACGCTCTATCCACTGAGCCAAACCATCCTTTTTTTCCCTTCTTCAAAGAAACTGAGTCTCAGAGAGGTTAACTGACCAACCCAAAGTCACACAGCTGGTAAGTGCTATGAAGCTGAGATTCAAACCAAGTAGTCTGAATCCAGAGCCCAAGCCCCTAACCATAGTCTCCAGTTAGTTCCACCTTCTAGGTTTCAGATTCCCCATCTGTAAACAAACAGGATTGGTATACTTGAACTCCAAACAGCCTTCCAGGCCTGACAATCTGTGCTTTATTCAACATTCACTGTATTGCCAGGCCGGGGCTGGGAACACAAAGCTGAGTAAGATCACCTCTGTCCTCAGGTTATACACTCTTTGAGAGAAGAAATCACATTTTAATTACCCTTGCTAGCCTCGCACCGCTTACCACAGGCACTGTGCAAAGAGAAGGTGCTCAAAATATTTGTTGACTAAATGTGTGATTCATGGGGAGGAGCATGGGCTTGGGAGTTAGACATAACTGAGGTCCCATCCTGTTCTGACCCTTGCAAGGGAAAGTCACTTAATTTCTGTGCCTGTTTCTTTCTTCATCGAGTGGCAATGCACAGGGTTGCAGAGAGGATAATGCATGGTAAGCACTTGGCATCGTGCTTGGCACATTAAAAACTGCTCAATAAATCTTAGTTCCTTTCCTTGATGGATACTCCAACCTTCTTTTACCCTTGTCACTGGCTGGTAGGGAACATGCTGAACCCCTCTTTGTTGTCTCCCCGGTTGAAGCTGGGAACTAATTTCTACTGCTGGAGGCAGACAGCAAACCCGCTCTGCCAGGTCCTGCGTGAGGAAGGAAGAAAACAGGTTCCCTGGAAAGCCCTCCCCTGGATTCTGATTCCCATGCAGCCCCTGCTCCTCTGTGGTGCAGATGTCCCCTCTGTCTAGACAGCTCTCCCCAGAAGAAATTGCCAACCACAGACTGTCTGATGACAAAGCGTGCCCCAGACACCAGTCCTCTTACACACAATTCATTCAACCCTGTTCAGAAAAGAACAAGCCAGGCTCCCACCTCCTAAGCAGAGGGGAATCTAGGGGAGCAGGAGTGAATGGGTGGCTTCTTTTTTCATTAATTTATCCGTCCATCCATCCATCCATCTTTGGTTGAATGTCTTCCATGTGGTAGGCATGGGGCATACCTAGATGAATAATACCCCCTTCCCTTCCCAAACTCATAATATTGGGGGAGATGGACACACAAAAATAACTATGAAAGGTGTGGCCATTATACTGACAGGGAACACTCAGGGAGGGCTTACTGTGTGCCAGGCAGAGTGCTATGTATTTTGGATGCATGATTTCATCACCCCATGAAATAAGTACTATTGCTGTTATCATTTTACCCATCAGCCAACTCTCGGAATTTAGATAACTTGTCCAGGGTTGCACAGCTACTGAAAAATCAGGATTCAAATTCAGTCTGATCCTTGCATCAGCACTTGCCATCAGACCTCTAAGGAGGGAATCACCACCTCCATTCAGGAGGAATGGGAGGGGCCCCACGGAGCAGGGGATTTCAGAGCTGGGCCCTGAGGGATGAGTCATGGGAGACCAAAGAGGTATCAAAGATTCTGGAAATGAGTGGGACTCTAACCAACGGAAATGAGGGCCAGGACTTTCTGAATGGAAGGGAAAGCATGAGCCGGGTTTGAGAAGGCAGGGCACACAGCGTGGGAACACACTGGGAAGAGCCTGGAATGCCAGGATAAGGGACTTGGGACCTCTGCAGGAGGGAGTGAGGAGGGAAGTTCCTGCCCTACCAGTCTGGGCAGGGGCTCCCTATGCTTTAGGAGGTCTGCTCTAGTGACGCATGGAGAATGGTTTGGAAGGGGCAGGAAGCTGACCTGGGACTTGCCCCAAGGTTTTTGGATTGTGGTAGCAGGGATGGAGATTGTGACAGAACGGTCGATGATGCCCACGTGGATGTCAGAGTTCAGGGTACCACAGAGTGCAAACTTGCCCTGTCCAATCATGCCACTCGCTTACTCGAAACCCTTCCCTGGCTCCCATAAAGCCCCAGGTCCTTCACTTGGCATTCAAGGCTTCATGAGCTGATCCCTTTCTGCCCCCCCACCCCAACCCCAGCCTCATCTCAACCACTTTCCCCTACACTAGCAACATCTACAGACCAAATTCTCTCGGTAGCCTCTGTGCCTTTGCACATGCTGTTCCTTCTACCAGAGAACTTCTCTGCTCCCCTTCCCTCTGGTTTGCTCAGATGACTCCTACCCCCTTCAAGGCTCAGTGCAGGGGGGGGGGGTGCCCTTGCCCACCTCCCAGGTGGGGCATGCTTTCCTCTGAGCCCCTTAAGCCCCTGCTCCCTCTGTCCCTCCCCCTACATTGGGTTGTACTGAACTGCATGGGGGCTTTTTCTCCTGGACTGTGAGCTTCCTGAGAGTGAGGTCTGGCAGGGTGAGGGCAGAGAGGTTGAAGTGAGCCCTCTCCAGCAGACCCAGCTTTTTGCTTAAACCAACTTTCCAGGGGCATTTACCATCTTGAACTGCTCTTGTTGTTCAATGATGTAAGTTTTGTTAGCCTGTGCTGAGATGCTGCACATCTCTCCGATCCCTTGTTGCTCACCCCCCGTCAGGGCAGCTTCCGGAGCTCTCAGGTCTTTTCCGCGGGGACAGAGGCCCGGCGTGTCTATATTCACTCTGCCATGTGGATTTCCCTACTGCAGGGTCTCAGGCTGGGACCCTGGCGGCAGCTGCAAACGCTTGCGCTGCGTGGCTAGGACCCCCTCCTCCTCTAGGACTGTTCACCTTGGGGTACCAGCAGCAGTACCTATTTTGGGAAATGCCTCCATTTGGCATTGCCTATTTCCTATTTGGGAAGAGAGCCCAGGATCTGAGTAGAGTGAAGAAGGCCGAGAGGGGTGAGGCTGCACATAACTTTTGTCTATTTGCCAGTGATTGATCTGCCTGGGGTTTGCACTAAGACGAAAAGAACCTGTGCATTATTAATGACCATCGATCACAGCCTCCCAAAAAAGAGAGATTGAGAGAGACGAAGGCTCCAGGCCGGTCACCAAGCTGGTAAACCAAGAGGGTGAGGTGTAGAGAGAGGAGGGGAGGGCCAGTGGCTAGGGAATTTGTAGAGCAGGACACTGAGAAGAATGCCAGGAGGGGCTGCAGAGTTCCTGGTGTGCCAGGCGTTACACAGCTGTGTGGGCTGCAGATAAACCAGCGGCAGTGGGTGCTGCTGGCCTCTGCTACACCCAGCTCACCAGACTTCACCAGAGCAATTGCCAGGGACAGAGGGGCACTTCACTATGATAAAGGGGTCAATTCACCAAGGGCTCATAATGGCAAGTGCACTTAACAACACAGCTTCGACATACATGGAGTCCAAATTGGCAGTGAGCCTGTAAGGATAGAGGCCAGCTCCCCGGGAGCCACGTGAAACCCAGACACCAGCCGTGCCCAGCGTGGTGCCTCTTCAGTGGGCACTTCTCATTGTTCCTCTTTGTGCTCTAGCCTCTCAACCCTGGTCCTCTGGAAGCAGGTAAATTCATCCCAGCACCCCCACACCTGCTGGAACCTGGGGGTTGCCTCCCTTGCTTGGAATCTGCTGTTTGAATGAGGGAAGGAGCTGCCCCTCTGACCTCAGCTCCTGCCATTCACGCGGCCCCAGAACCCGCGGGTCACTGTCCCCTCAGGGTCTCTGTGCCTGTCCCTCACGGGAGCTGTACCCCTACATTTCTGCAGGGCCCCTCCATCACCCCCTGTCTTTCTCAGTGAGACCTCCCCTGACCGCCCTGTTCAGTGCCTCCCCTCACTCTCTGTCTGCTCCCCCTGCTTTTTTTCTTCCACACCACTCAGCCCATAAACGTCCCTAAGTTTTGCTTACCGCATTCATTAAGCGCCAGTGGGTCCACTTCTGTTTTGTTCTCTGCTGGGTTCCCAGTGCCTCGAACATGCCCGATGCGCAGTGGGTTGATACCTACCTGTTAACTGACGAAATAAAAAATCCCACTAGGGATGAACACGGGGCAGGGACGGATGGGGGAAGCTAGGCTTTCACCAGGGTCTCCGGCCAGGGCCCACCTCCCACCACCCTCTACTCCGGACCAGGCCACCCGCTCTCCTACAGGTGGGGACTGGGGCGCCCCGGGACTGGGGCGGAGGCCAGGGCGGAGGCGGGGGTTGGAGGTGGGACTCGGAGCTCCCGCAGGACCCGGACTGGGGGGGCCGGGCCGAGCCTGGCTCCCGGCGGGCGGGCGGGGGGCCGAGTGCGGGGGAAGCCTGGCGGGGGAGGCGCTGGGGGAGGGAGCGGGGAGGCGCGGCGGGCGCGGGAAGGGGAGCGCGAGACCGAGCCGCAGGGCGCTGGGAGGGGCGGAGGGAGCGCGGAGGGCGCGGGCCGGGAAGGGCCCGGGGCAGCGGGCGGGAGGCGCCGGGAGCTCGGCTCGGTGGCTGCGGCGGCTGGCGGTGAGACTAGGCGCGGCGCGTGGAAGCAGGACTCGGGCGGGCGAGCCGGGGGCCGGCACCTGCGTGGCGGGAGCGGGTAAGCGCTCGGAGTCTGTGCGCCGGGGAGGGGCGCGCCGGGGCCCCGTGCGGCTCGCAGTGTGGCCGCCGCGGCCACCCCGCCGGAGCCAGGGCGGGAGAGGGCGCCTGGGCTCGGGGCTCGGGGCTCGGGCCTCGGCCACCCGGGACGTCCCACCTCCCGGCGCCTTCGGGCGGGAGGCGCGCGGGGAAGAGGGCCCCGGAGGACCTGCCCCGTCCGAGGGGAGCGTCCGGGGCGCCGTCCAGGGTCCCGGGATGGAGGGTGGGCCCAGGCTGCGCCCGGAGGCAGCTGCGGGGTCCCGGGCGCGCGTTCGGATGCGGGTGTGGACGCGAGGTCTGGTAGGGGCGGGAGGCGCGCCCCCCAGGTCGGGGGCTGCGACTCCCCTGCGTGGCCTCTGCGGCCGAGGGGAGCGGGCGCTGCCCCCTGCCGGCCAGGTCGGGGTGCGGCGCGGCGCGGGGCCGCCCTTTCGGGAGGGGAGTTGAAGGAGCGTCCAGGATGGAACCCGGGCTCCAGACCAGCAGCCCGGTGGGCCCGGGCTGGTTTTGTGACCTTGGGCAGGTCACTGCATCTCTGCGAACCTCAGTTTGCACATCTGTCAAGTGCAGGGTATACTTCTCCCACCCTGCGAGACTCGGGGGATATATGAGATGCCCTAATGGATGCCTTTTTATAAACTGTAAAGTTCTGAACAGATGCTAGCTAATCACATAGCATCAGGACTGGAAGGGCACTAAGAAATCTGCTTTATTGCAGGTGTGGAGAGTGGGAATAAATCTTTCCCCAGGTCACACTACTTGTGAGAGAATATAAGGCTAAAGCCCCCCAGCTCTGGGGAGATGCAAGGATTAAGAGTAGGGACCCTCTGCCTAGCTGGTTTGGCTCAATGGCTAGAGCATTGCCTGCGGACTAGCCGCAGGGTCCTGGGTTCGATTCCGGTCAAGGGCACATGCCTGGTTTGCGGGCTCAGTCCCCAGTGGGGGGTGTGCAGGAGGCAGCTGATCAATGATTGTCTGTCACCATTGATGTTTCTATCTCTTTCTTCTTCTCTGAAATCAATAAAAATATATTTTTTTAAAAAGAGTATGGGCTTTCTATCAGACTTGGCCGCATTACAAACCAGGCTTGGCTATTTACTAGCTGTGTGACCTTGGGAAAGCCCTTAACCTCTCTGAGCCGTGGTTTCCTTCCATGTGAAGTGGGGATAAGAATGTCCGCCTCACAGGCTTGCTGTGCACATCAAATGAGGTCATTGTTCAGCGCAGCCTCTCAACCTCTTCCTGGGACTTGGCCCCCAATGTGGGTCTGTACTCTCCCCTGGGCTACATAGCCACCGGCCAGGGTCTCAGCCTTCCTTCCAAGGACATTGAGGGCCCTTTACAGACAGCAGCAAGCAAGGCCACTTGGGCAGCTGGGCCTACTCCAGCCTTTGATCCTGTCCAGCTGGTGGGGAGGAAGGAGTGGTCTTTGTCCTGGAGGCATCCAAGGAAGCCAGGACCTAGAGCAGGGGTCCTCAAACTTTTTAAACAGGGGCCAGTTCACTGTCCCTCAGACCGTTGGAGGGCCGGACTATAGTTTAAAAAAAAAAACTATGAACAAATTCCTATGCACACTTCACATATCTTATTTTGAAGTAAAAAAACAAAACGGGAACAAATACAATATTTGTATTTGCATGTGGCCCGCGGGCCGTAGTTTGAGGACCCCTGACCTAGAGGGTCACATAGGAGGGAGGGAGCTGACCAGCTGGACCTGACTGGTAGGGCCTAGGGCCTCCTCTCCTCCCCATAGTGCCCAGTGCAGGCCCAGGAACGCAGGGGTGCTTCCTCTGAGTGCCAGTCAGGTCATCCCGTGTCTCCCAGGCTGCAGGTGGAGGACTGGTCTTTTTGGCGACTGGGATGTGAATCTGTGCTGAAATACAGAATCTCAGAGCTGAGAGTTCCCAGGATCTAAGAAGTTCCTCTCATTGCACAGATGGCTCCCGTCCGAGGCCCCCAGCGGGGCGGGGGTCTGCCCAGGTCACCTCTGTCCTCCAGGAAGCTGAACTCAGCAGACAGTGTTCAGTCTTTACCTTTCTAGCAGCTGCCCTGACACCACTGACCACTCCCTTCCTCTGGGAACACTCTCCTGGCTCCTGCAACTCAATACTGTCTATTTTGCCTACTGCGTCTCTGTTTTTGCAGGTTCATCCTCCTTTCTATAGCCTTTAGCTCCTCTCCTCTCCTAGCAGACACTCTCCCTGGGTGGTCTCGTCCACCCCATTGGCTCCAGTGACTACCTCTCTGCACATGACCTCATAGATGTATGTTTCCAGCCCAGAACTCTCAGGCCGGTGGCAGATAGGGTGAAGTGCTGAAATGAACCTGAAGCAGGGAAGATCTAACAGAGGATGACAACTACTTTATGTTGGCTGGTCAACGCTTCGCCTAAGAGGTGATATTTAAGGGGAGCAGATGGTAGGAAATGAGGTCAGAGAGGTGGCTGGTTGGGGGGTGGGGGTTCAGTTAACATAGGACCTTGTGGACCATGGTGTGATTTTTTAAATTTTATTCAGATATGGGAGCCCTGGAGAGTTTCAGACAGGAGGGAGAGAATGCTGTTATTTCTCCAGGGCTCACGTGAGCCCTGGAAGAGGAGTCGCTCTATATCTTTTTTTTTTTAATCTTGTGTTTTTGTTTTTTGGGAGTTGCTCTATATCGATTGCAGCCTACAGTGCTCCCGGCACTGGAGGGGGAGGGGGTAGCTCCTCAAGGAGCTTCCACCACAGGCACAAACAAACCTGGAGTCCGGAGGGTTAAAGGAGGGAGATTTTGCATCTGGTTGACAGGGAAGGCTTCCTGGGGGAAGTGGCTTTTGAGAAGGGCCTCAGAGAACGGAGAGCAGATTTCAGTAGACATGTATGAAAGAGAGTGGGACAGATTGCTCTCCCAGGCAGAGGGCAGTCTGTCAGCCTGAACCAAGACACAGATGCCCCAAATGTGTGTAGAGAAGGCAGGGAAAGGAGACAGAACCTATAGAGCAGCGGTTCTCAACCTGTGGGTCGAGACCCCTTTGGGGGGTCGAACGACCCTTTCACAGGGGTCGCCTAAATACATCCCGCATATCAGATATTTACATTACAATTCATAACAGTAGCAAAATTACAGTTATGAAGTAGCAACAAAAATAATTTTATGGTTGAGGGTCACCACAACATGAGGAACTGTATTAAAGGGTCGCGGCATTAGGTTGAGAACTACTGCTATAGAGGAGGGAGTCCAGGCTGTCCAGAGAGCAAGGTCCTGGATTTGGCCACTTACTTGCTGTGTGACCTTGAGCTGGTTGCATTGCCTTTCTGGGCCTCAGCTTCCTCATTCATAAAAGAAAAGTAATTGGTTACATGCTGAGTGAGAGAGAGAGGGAGGTAGGATTCTAGATGTTGGGGCTGGGTGGATAAGCCTGCCAAGGAGCAGACAGGAAGGACTGGGATGGATGAGGAAGATGGTGGCTCGATTGAGGTGGGGGCCCCTGTGGTACATCCAGGAGGAATGACCAAAGGACATTTGGGGCCAGAGGTACAGGGTGTCAAAGGTAAGACCGCAGTGTTCTTTCATTCAACTTTTGAGTAAATCCTTCCTGAACCACGGTAAGTATTAAGCCCAAAACCTACAGCTGTGAACAAACCAGTCTCTGCTCCCAGAATGGACCATCTTGAGGGAGAGAGCCCCACGGCATTGGGCTGCAGGATACTGAGAGACACGCATGTCAGTCATAAACGTAAGGCACCTGTTGGACAGAGGGGAGGGGACCCCATTTGGGTGGAAAGAGTAGACACATTTTAGCCAAGAGGAGACACTTGAATTCGATCCTGAGGTTGAAATTGGAATTGGGCAGGTGGGTAGGAGGAAGGATACCCTACACAGAGGGCACTGGGCTTCATGACACAGCACACGTGTCCCCCATCCCTCCAGGAATCAGGTCCAACAGGAAGACAGGCAGTCAGCCAGTGAGCCCAGTTGAGGGGAGTCCAGTGTTAATGCGTGATAAGGAGACCAGTGGGGTGGGGAGGAGGGAGTGATCACTACCATTCCTAGGATCCAGAGGAACCTCTCTAGGGTTGGAGGAGACCAGAGGAAAGGCATTCTAGATAGATGGAATGGCCTGTGCAAAGGCTCAGAGGCGTGAGAGAAACATAGTGTGTTCGCAGAAGGAAGTCTCAGCCAGGCTGGAGGTGGGCTGTTTAGCTGAGTGCACGTGAACAGAAGAGAGGGAAGTGCTGGGCTGTGCAGTCTCTGGATCAGTGAGCAATAGGAAATGAAGAAATAGGGGTTGGGGTGCATGGAGCGAAGGGTTCTCCAAGCTCCCGTCCTGTGGAGTAGGTGTCTTTGGCCACAGTTTCTCTTCTCTTGCGGATTCGATTTGTCTGCCGGTGCCCAGACGCAAAGCCACCTTCAGAGGAGAATCTCGGGGTTGCCGCAGGGTACCTGTCTCCTTTCCCAAGGCCCTCTTCTCACTCTCATGTCAATCAATCACGCCTGTGGCCCCAGGTTCCAGGCGAGCTTCCCCGGGGCCACCGCAAGTTTTTCTAGAAGCAGGGCCCACATCTGTGTGGCTCATGCCAACATGTGGCTTTAAGCACATAGTTACTGAGTGGATGAGGAAAAAGCTGTTGAGATGGTTGAGGCTCCAAGAGGTCGAGGAATTTGCCCAAGGTCACAGAGTTAGTGATTGGCAGAGCTGGGAAGCAAATTCAGGCTACCTGACTCCAAAACCTGGGCGCCTATTCATGGCTGGGTGGTGCCTCCCAGCAGGGAAAGCAGATGGTGAGTAGCGGGATGGGATCCTATAAACACTAACAAATTCGGTGTTTAATTTCTAGGAAATGAGTTCCTATTGTTAGTACCTTGTTTATTCGGTCTGCAGAAAACAGCCTCTCCTCTGTCCTGGAAGTGGTTTAGCTCCCCAGCTAAAGTGCCCTCTGGGAACTCAGACAGCAGCATCTGTCGGGGAGGGGCAGGCGCTCC